CCGGCGGCGACCTGCGGCGGCTCGGGGAAGGGCGCAGGCTCCGGTGGCTCCGGCGGCGACCTGGCGCGGGGCGGCGAACGGCGCGGGAGGAGGAGGGGACGAGAGGTCGGGGGCGAGAGGGGGTCGTGCGGGTCGTGCGGACGGTTTGGTTCTTTTTTTTAACAGCGAGGAGGGCTGGATTAATGATAGATGGTTTGTTGCCTTACTGCCTGGTTTGCAGCGTTAAACACCGAAGAATTAAGGACCATTAAATGTTGATGATGGATGGTTGTGATTGTCTGGTTCTCCGCCCTCTCTTCTTTTTATAGGGGTAGTAGATAAGTGTGCTTTTCACTTTTTGAGAAACACAATTGTGCTTCCGCGAGAAACACAGCTACAATTGTGCTTCATGAGGAGAGTTGTAGTTTTCATTTTTTTGAAAAATACAACTGTGGGAAGCAAAAAGTACAATTGTGTTTTTCATTTTTCGCAAAGCACATATGTACTTCATGACAAGCACCGTTGTTCCTTTTCGTGAACTATGTTGTTCGCTTTTGAGAAGTACAACCGTACTTTACTTTCCAAAAAGTACAGTTGTCATACTAAAGCACAGTTGTGCTTTTTCGTAAACCACAACCGTGTTGTGCTTCATCGTGAAGCATGTTTTTATTTTTCACACGGTGTGCTTCACATGAGAAAAAAGAGTAAAGAAGACAAAAACCTAAAAAAGACCATGCAAAATCAAAAAACTCAAGAAAAAACGAAAAAATACCTAACACATGTGCAAAAAAAACTTCTCCATGGGTGCATTCAGCTTGTGACACATGGCGGCGGCTGAACGCACCACCACATGTCGCAGGGTGCACTCCCGAGTGACCGCTCGAGATCACCCACGAAGGGGTACCTCCAATTTTTTTTGGACCAATCTAGCTGACGGCCGGGCGCCAGGTACCGCTCGTGAGCGGCCGGCCCCTGTCCGAGACGTCTAGTCACTGCCGCATATAAAAACAACAAAATTATAGTAATCCAAAAGTGCTAAAAAACACTGTTAATTAATCACTTTATGTGGTCTTTTTTCTCTGTGATAGATGTTCGTTCCTGGTGCATTATTTTTTGGTTTTTAAAATTATAAAAGACATATCTTTTAAACCGCGTGTCGAAATTCAGATCCGTTTTCATGATTGAAACCCTTGCGACGAGCTCTTCAAAAGTAGATCCCGCATGGGGATGTTTCGACGAACTAGTCTTCCTGCCAACTAAACATTAATGTGTGTGCAATTAGACTATATTGCCGCGCCAACTGAGCATATGTGTGTGTGCCAATAGTCCTGCCAACTAGATACTCATGTGTGTGCAGCTAGACTACATTGCCGCGCCAACTGAGCATATGTGTGTGCTAAATAGTCTTGTCAACTAAATATTAATGTGTGTGCAACTAGACTACATTACCGCTCCAACTGAGAATATATGTGTGTAACTAGACATGCCAACTAAATATCAATGTGTGTGCAACTAGACTAAATTGTCGCGTCAATTGCGTATATGTGCGTGCAACTAGTGTCCTACCAACTAGACATCAATGTGTGTGCAATTAGACTAAATAAAAGCCAACTGAGTATATGATTGTGCAACTAGTCTTCCTGTCAACTAAACATCAATGTATGTGTAACTAGACTACATTACAAGCCAACTAAACAATGTGTGTGCAACTAGACTACATTACAAGCCAACTGAACATATGTGTGTGCAACTAGTTCTTTTACCAACTAAATATCAATGTGTGTGCAATTAGACTATATTATAAGCCAACTACCTAACGGTTGATGTGCATGTGTAACTTTCCCCCGTACCCGTGGATGTGTAGTTTCATTGCTAGCATCCCTTTCCACCCACCCCAATTAGTGAGATGTGCATCTTAAGGGTCTCACCTGTAGACAACTTTTCTGCACCCTCATGGTCCATGGATGTGCATTTTTTCATCATTCAACAAATCCATGTCAGTGAGATGTGCAACTTTATCTGTTGCCCTGGCCAACTGCCTAGCAGATTCTCTACAACTAGTTCTATTGTCCCTGTCAACTACTTCCAATAACCGTGTCCAACTAAAAACAACTATGTGTGTAACTAGAACTGCTATAGATGCCAACAAAAAATGATCGTCGTGTGTGCAATTTTCCAATGACCGTGCCCAATTGAAAACAACTATGTGTGCAAGTAGAACTACTATAGATGCCAACCAAAAATGAACCATGTGTGTGCAACTTTCCAATGATCGTGTCCAAATAAAAACAAATATGTGTGCAACTAAAACTACTATAGATGCCAACAAAAAATGATCACCGTGTGTGTAACTTTCTAATGACCGTATCTAATTGAAAACAATTATATGCGTAATATCTAGAGTACTATAGATGCCAACAAAAAATGATCGCTGTGTGTGCAACTTTTCAATGATCATATCCAATTGAGAACAAATATGTGTGCAATTAAAACTACTGTAGATGCCAAAAAAATGATCACTGTGTGTGTAACTTCCCAATAATCGTGTCCAACCAAAAACAATTATGTGTGCAACTAAAACTACTATAGATGTCAACAAAAAATGATTGCCATGTGTGCAATTTTTCAATGATAGAACTCAACTGAGAACAACTGTATGTGCAACTATAACTATTATAGTAATGATCATCTCTGACGAAAACAACTATGCACAACAAGAATTACTATAAATGCAAAAAAAAAATGAACGCCCTGTGTATTCAGTTCAATGTATTCCGTTCCACTTTCACCACTGTAGGAAAAAGGTTCAGTGTTGTGCAACTTTCTAATTGTCGTATCCAACTGAGAACTTCTATGTGTGCAACTACAACCACTGCGAATGCCAACTAAGAATGTGAAGATCAATATATCTGAAAAAGTGATACAATAGTTTTGATCCACTGTCAAGCCATTGGATTGATCTATCTACGCATCATAAGTTACAATAGCACCAAAATGAGCTATGCAACAAAAACTCCCCCGCGATGAATCCGACGTTATGTTTGCTCTTGAATGCTCCCACATACTGATGCACTGTTCAGATTGACGGACCCAAAGCAAAGTTGGAGGATAAGTATGTAGTGCGTTTGGAGGATAAGTCACTAAGCAAGAAATATTTACGAAGGAGGCTTCCAGCACTTCTCATTTCTCTCTCTATTTGGAGGATTAGGATCATCAGTAAGAGAAAGAATGAAGAAAAGGATCCGCTTTGCAGATCGTGGGCTCGACCGCAATGGCAGCCTCGTGTCGGTCGGGACTGGGTAAAGCGCTGGTAGCGTGCAATCAACCAGCGGGAGAGAGGCCGCTCGGTATGCAACAGAGGGCGGCGCGATGGCCAGAGAACAGAGGCAAACGGCGGCGGGGATCTGTTGCAACGAGCACTTGTTCCCGTTCTCCCCGCCACTGCCCTCCTCCCTCTCCGCCTCCGGCCCCTTCCTCTCTCCACCCTCCCCCTCCCCCTTTGCCTTCCCCCACCCCCATGACCTCGACCTCTACCTCCCTCTCGACCATGCCACTTCGATCTGGTGATCTGCGATGTCGGGGGAGGAGGGGCCGCAGGCCGCAGCTAGTCATAGCATCACCAGCAGCAGGGGCTGGAGGCCGACGGCGAGGAGCACCACCACCAGGAGCAGCACGGCGACCTCCCCGGTGCAGCCACCTCCTTCCCCTCCTGGACCTCCTGCTACGGATCTCCACCGAGCAGCCAGATTCCAGCAGATGCGGCAGTGGCCACCCACCGAGTGGATGGATCCGAGGCGGACAGGTGGTCAGCGGCGTCGATGGTGATGCGGACGGTGGGGGTCGATAATGGAAGACGCTGGATGTGGAGGAGGAGCTGCGCATGTAAGAGGCGAGGTTGGAGACCGCGCTTGGGAACGCGCCCCGACCAGGTGGCACCTGGCCACGCGGGCGACGATACTAGCCAGATCGGGCGGCCAGGAACCGGCCGCTCGTTCTGTCCAAACAGTGCGTATGCACTTTTTAGATTTTAGGATTTTTTTTCTAGGGAAAGGTTTTTGTTTTTGAGTGAAAAGTACACTCCAGTTAGTCGTCCCCTGACAACCTAATCTCTATGGGCCAGAGCCAATGATCAGCGTGACGACCCGTTGGCGTTGTAAGTGTGCGTGCCAAGGAGGGCTCAGCTATTCCTGGCCTGTAAGCGAGCAACTGCGTCATGTTATAACCTGTCGATTTTGAACATTAATGAAGATAAGCACATTTCTGCCTTTCGTTCGTCGCTGAATTCTTTCAGTCTTCAAAATAACTTGGGTGACAAAACATATAGATTTCAAAAATCGTGATGAACGAGCAGACCCCGTCTTATATACTTATATACTTACCCATGCGATGTACAAACTTATATACTTACCCATGCGATGCATGAGAGCAGCCCCAGCATTTCAATAATTTGGCTCGCATAACAATCACAGAAAGAAAAGGAGTCCCACATGAAACTCAATGCGACGTTAAACATCTACCACTGTGCAGCAATCCCCGGGATACAGGAGAAGATAGACGCGCAAGCACAAACCTGTATCATGGTTTGGAAATGCACTGAGCACGCAACACCTTTATGACAAGTTTCAGCCGGACAGATATCTATACCCGTTGATCATAAGCCGATGAAATCGTCCTTCTGCTCCTTCCGGGGAGTCCTTTCCTGCTGGGAGGCGGTGCCGGCTTTCTTACCAAAGATCATGTCGTCGAGATCCTGAAGCAAGTCATCCCCGCCGCTAGAGCGACCACCGGACCCAGCTGATTTCCTCGAGGGGGTGTCTTTGCCAACAGCGCGTGGGGATTCCTCAGGCTCCACCGTGACTGGAATCATCGCTGGTTCTGGCTCAGGCTCTGCGACGATGGGCTCCTTGAGGTCTTCGTACTTGGACAGAACTTTCTGGAGTTCATCGTGGATACTCAGTGCCTCGAAGAGTTGAGCCTCATTATCACCTGCAGTTTCAACGATTCTCCGGATCGTGTATTGACACTGTTGGCATTGCTGGACCAGGGTGGTAGTCAAGTCATCCTGCATGTATGTGAGGTGCAGTAGAGAATCAGGACACGGAGTTGATGATAGCATCGTACTAGTATAATATTGAATCAGATATCTGAATAAACAGATAAAAATAATAGATGAAGTTCTTTTGCAAACTGTCAGTTAACTACTCTCTCCGTCCCAAAATAAGTGTCTCAGCATTGAACTAACTTCAGTACAAAGTTGTACTAATCTCGAGACACTTATTTTGAGACGGAGGGAGTACTTACTTACAGATACTGCTCTGCGCCGAGACTGTGATAAGGTAATAAGGGATAACAGGTTGATTGGCCAGGGCCATTGTTGCAGTATACTAAAAAGACCATTAAATGTAACAAATGCTAGCAACCAATATGTAATTTCCTTAACATATACTACCTCCGTCCGGGTTTATTAGGCCCCCTTGCATTTTGGGTCTAAGTTTGACCATGTATTTAACTAAAAATATATAAAGTATATGCTACCCGAAATATATTGTTGAATTTATATTTGAAAGAGGTTTTCTATGATATAGTTTTCATGACATATAGTTTATATTATATCAGTTAAATACATGGTCAAACTTTGGCTCAAAATGAAAGGGGACCTCATAAACCCGGACAGAGGGAGTAGTCATGTACTCCCTCCGTTCCAAAATAGATGACCCAACTTTGTACTAAATTAGTACAAAGTTGGGTCATCTATTTTGGAACGGAGGGAGTATAAAGATAACAAAACTTCAACCCTGCCTTTTGAGATGCCGACATCACAGACTGCACATTGCCTATATCACAGATTCCAAGCTGAACAACATGAACTACTCACATAAGCGGGAGTTTCTAATTGACCGGCAAAAGAAAAGACTAACCTCTAGAGCCTCTTTTTGTGGAGATGATGATAGCACTGTGGAAAGAAGTTCAACGCTATTACGAGCCACCTCAAAAGCCTCGTCGACTTGTACAGAAGGGGCAGCACGAACTGGAGCAAAACTTTCATCTGGAATTTCTTGATACCCGTCCTGTGCTGCATCAGAATATGGTTCAGCTGCAGGTACTGAACGGGGAGGAGTAAATATTGGCGCAAGGCTCTCATCATCGCGGCCAGGGAAGCGAATTCCCCTAGACCTTAAGCTCTGCAACGAAAACCAAATGTCAACTGAAATCCACATGTTTAACAGCGCTAGTTGACCAGAAGCAATGATATAAGTTTCAGGCACAACACTGTGCTATGGATGCAGTGTAAACTGCACAAAAGAAATGTTTATGAAAATGCATCCTAATTATCCCTCCTGTTAACATAAGTAACTTAATATCTCATTATCCACAATTAACCAAAGTTCAAAAGGAACGAAATAAGCTCTCTCAGATTCTTGGCAGATCAGCAGTAAAGCACTGTGTTCTGGTTAATTAGCCAGTTTAACAAGAGAGCATTCCATGTATGATGATCATCAATAAGTACCTTGTAAGTTTCTTCATACACAGGAAGGTAGCGGAGCTCTTCTCCTGACTCTCCCCATGCTTCAATAAGCATGAGCGCCTTGTTTCTGTTGTTGACTATAGTCTGTGGGTCATCAATAAGCTTCACCATTTCATCAAGGACCCGCTCCGCAGCAATCTCGGAGAAAGCCTTCTCGCAGTTCTTGACAATGGTCTCGAGGAGGACAAGAGCCAGATACTGCACCCTCGGGCTCTTGAGCATGATTCGCCTCTTGATGGCGCGGATGAGCTCGACGCTGTTGACCCTCTCGGTGTTGGCCATATCGCATATCTCAAGATTGGTAGCCCAATCGGGGCCGTCCATGGTCTCCAAGGTGGCCTCGTCAACAATCTTGTCGGCCATGTTCTGGCCTTGGAAAAACTCCTTCATCTTGAAACTCATGCTAGTGACGCCGGTGGACATCTTGCGGCTGACTTCCGCGCCGCTGATCTTGAGGCGCTCGCCCAGGGCGTTAACTTTGTCCATGAGATTGTCGCTCATCTTGCTACAGTGATCCGGCAGTCGATACCTGCCGTGGTTCTGCAGGCAAGTAAAGTGCAACGTTAGGAGACAAGGACAATATAACATAGCAAAGAAAGAAATCGGGCACCAAAATTGCAATTCACTATCAGCCAAGAAGGGGGATCCAAGCAGCCCAGAACATGAACAGCTGCCAGTAGTAGATTGCGGGTGGGAGGTTATCGGAAGCTGAACAACCTACCTATGTTCTTGAGCATATCTGACAGAAACTAGAACCGGTCCTTGTGATGCTACAGCTAGGGTTTCTTGCTTGTTGCCCAGAAAAAAAGGGCGGGCGACGCAACTTGCAGGGCCATTTCTTGGCCGTGGAGATTGAACTGAACTGATAAAGTATCGCGTAGATGGATTGCTACACAAGTTGACAGGACAGGTAGTAGTCTTTATTTATGTACTTAGTTTTTTTTTTTTGCACGATTGATTTACAAGAGAAGGGAACACATCGCAAGAAAAGAA